GCTGTATAAACTGGACAAGTAGGACCCACATAAAAATGACTGCTGAACTTTCCAAAGGTGAGGTGGTTCTTCTGGGTTCCTGAATCGTGATAAAGATGCCAGACATTCTGCAGGACACAAAAGAGAGTGACTGTCAAACTGCCAATAAAGGAGGAAGTGTCTTTGACATTCCTTGCTTCAGGGAAAAGTCTGCCAGACACTATGGGTCTGTAGGCTGAAGATGAGAGCCAAAATTTTAAAGGAAACCTTTGGGTGACTATACAGGTAGTGAGATGTCTCTATCAATTCTAGAATTTTGGAATTTGCTTACAATGCACTTCCTGTTTACTTAGGTAATTTCATAACCTTCTGGAGTCTTTGATGGCATTGAGGAATAGATAGTTATAATTATAGTTGTCCTTAGTTATGATAAAAGATAAAATATAAATATTGTAACTGTAATTCTTGCTTGATACCTGTGTTTTTATATGTGATTTTACTATATTAAAGTTAAAACCTCAGTTTTTATTTTAACATAAAAGATGGAAGTGGTGAGGGAAGTCTTTCTGTATACATGTTGATTTTATTGCTTAATGAATAAAGAATCTGTTTAGCCTGTGATAGGGCAGAACAGAGCTAGGTGGGAAAACTAAACTGAATGCTGGGAGAAATTAAGCAGAGTCAGTGAGAAGTCCTGTACCAGTTGCAGGAGAGAGATGTTCCCTGGAAAACTTGCCAGTAGGCCAAGATCGCATAATGATCCACAGATTAATAGAGATGGGTTAATATAAGATATAAGAGCTAGCTAGGGATAAACTAGAGTCATTGGCTAAGCAGTGATTTGATTAATATATTTTCTGAGTGATTATTTTGGGTCTGTGTGGCTGGGAACAAACAAACAGCCTCTGCCTAAAAAGCATTTTAACACGAATTTTGTTAAAATGTATTGGCAATAAAGCAAATGATGGGGTACATCAACCACCCTTGGACTATACTCAAGAGACTGACACATTAGGATTAGTAGTTCAAATGTATCCATAACTAATTACTGACAAACATGCTAGGCTAGGTAACAAACAACTTCTCAAGGGAATTTGTCAATATATGAAAAACATATAGGAAGTAAAATACAGGAATTTCAATCCTCCACCCTTTCCCAAACACCCTTACTTGAAAAGCATGATAACACATTGCATGATATCTAAGTAAACAATAAACCATGTAGATGATTAGCATCTCATTCTATAAATTTCAGCATAAGAATTCCTACCACTAAGTGAAAGAACAGTAGGAGATATATATAAGCCACAGAAATAATACAAAGTCCACATAATAAACTTCACTAAATGAATTTGCTAAAGATATAAATACTTTGATATGTGTTTCAAATGCTGCAAGGCAGAAACTATAATGCAGTGATCTCTGCCATCAGTCTTGAGTAGAGAGAGTACATAATTAATATTTCTCATGTTAAAAAAGACATGAAACAAGAATTTCTTGAAACTACAGAAAACTGTGATGTCTAAAATCTTTACCAAATCATGTACATGAAGAGGGTTTTTCTTTTGCAGAAATTTATCACTATGAGCTAATATCAAAGTATTACAAAAAAATCTTTAAAACATTTACAGGTCTGGAGACATGGACAAGCAGTTATGTCAAGTTCATTACCAGAAAAAGGTCAGGTTTTTGAGAATTTCCTGTAGTTCCTGCTATAAGAATACACAAGAGTCTACCCTTTTGAGGTCAAGTATGAACATTCACATACCCACACAAAGACACAATGACATCACATAATTAAAATTAATTAAAATCTTTAACAAAATTGATTTTCACTCATGAGTGTTTGTCTCCTATAAGCATTCATTTCTGTAACCCAAGTGTTGAGGCATTTAAAGGCTTACTTACAGAGTTTTTCTTCATCATGAATGTTTTCTTGTAACAGAAAGGAAGTTGGTGCCATCATTTGGGAAGATTTAGGGAACACCATCCTGGAAGAAATTTGTCATGGGGATTTTGCCTGACTTCATCCACACAACACTTCTACTTCTTTCCCTGGTTCATGCTGCAGGCCAAGGATATCAGTTCTTAGCTTTCCAAATGTAGTAATTTCAGAAAATTGTTTCTTTAATAATTTAATGGTGCTCCTGTATTCTTCTGGAATCCAGGGTCAAATTAAACTCTTTCATAAATTGACTCTGATATTTTATCACAAAAATAGAAGAAACAGTCATGCACCTCTACAAAATTTTACATTTGGATATGTTTATGTAATTGAAGAAAAGGGTGATATCAAAAAGGGTTACCCTATTATTGAATTCACAAGACTTTTGTGTATATGATTTTTCAGGTGCAAACAAAATAGAGACCTCATAATGATTGAACAGATCGTTGAAACTTGTAGATATTTTTCTTCCAAATCTTTTTAGACATCAAAATACCAAATAATTTAATTTTAAAAAATGGGGAAAAGATCTAAACAGGATTGACAACTAAAGAATATAAAATGACTAAAAGACACTTAAGGAAATGTTCAACATCCTTAGCCATCAGGGAAAGGCAAATCAAAATGACTCTGAGATAACATTGAAACCATCCAGAATGGCTAAGATAAAAAAACACCAACCATAGCTTATACTGAAGAGGATGTATAGTAAGGGGAACACACCTCTAGTGCTGGTGGGAGTACAAACTTGTAAAACCACTTTGGCAATCAGTATGGCTGTTTCTCAGAAAACTGGGAATCAACTTACATTAAGACCCAATAATACCACTCTAGGACATATACCCAAAAATGCTCAATCACACTACAAAGACATTTGTTTAACTATGTTCATAGAAGTATTATTTGCCATAGCCAGATCCTGGAAATTACCTAGATGCCCCTCTGAAGAATGGATAAAGAAAATGCGATACATTTACACAATGGAGTACTATTGATTGATTTTAAAAAATGACATCTTGGGGGCTGGAGAAATGGCTCAGTGGTTAAGAGCACTGACTGCTCTTCCACAGGACCCGGGTTCAATTCTCAGCACCCACATGGCAGCTCACAACTGTCTGAAGATCCAGTTCCAGGGGATCTGACACCTTCATACCAATGCACATGAAATAAAGATAAATAAATCATAAAAAAATAATAAATGACATCTTGAAATTCATATGCCAATGGATGGAACTAGAAAAAAAGCTCGCTGAGTAAGGTAATCCAGACCCAGAAACACGAGCATGGAATTACTCAATCATAAGTGGATACTAGCTGTAAAGCAAAGAATAACATGCCTGTAGCTCATGACCCCAGAGAAGTTAAGTAACAAATTGATCCCTAAGAGAAACACACATAGATCCCCCTGGATAGGGAAAATAGACAAGATCTCCTGAGATTGTCCTCTCTATCCACCACCAAGTCTCTTTAGAAAGTCTAAGCTCAGTCTGCAAGTCATTGCATTCACAAACTTGCTGCTCTTGATGGGTCCTTTTCAGGCTGCCAAGAGTTCCTATTAAGGGGTCCCTTCTGTTATTTCCTCGTCACTCTTGCCTGTGTTCTCATAAACCGAAACTGTATCTTCTTTCTGTCAGAAACAGGACATCTAGCTCTCAGTACATTTTCATACAGTTTTGGCAGGTATGAAACGGGCTGTGTCAGTTCAATGCCACTAGGTGGCAGCATGTTGCTTTACAAACTGCTTTGCTGGTGGCCCCTAAAAATTTATTGTGGCGTTTTTTATTCTTAAACACTGTCTGGAGACCTGACTCAGCCCTAGAGGTGGTACAGGGTTTATTGTTCTGCTCAGCTTTAACTTTCTTGCCACCTTTTCTTTCAAGTTCTGAAACATTCTCTTTTAGGGTGCTAGCTCAGTGACCTTTGTTTTCAGACTTGATAAACTCTTGACCATCTGTCCTGTCAACATACAACAGTAGCCTGCCATCTTCAGCAGATATTCTTGTGACTGCCAGCTGGGTCGAGGAAGCCGACGAGAAAGAACACCATTTCACATGAGCCTGGCACACTGTCTCTTGGAAATCCTCACTGTCAGGGGGAGTGGCACCAAGATACCTGCCATGGAACTGGTCTTTACAGAACACACACTAAATCATCTAGAACTTCATCTCAGGACCAGGATAAGGCCTCTAACAGAAGCAGTATAACCCGAAAAAGTTGTCATTGTACTTATGGCAAGATTTTACCTTTGATTTATGGAGAAATAATCTGTGTTCCAAGTTGTTTAACTTGCTGTTTCCACAATCACAATGAAAATTTCATTTTGTATATAGTACAACTAGTTTATGGGTTCATGGCATACCTGCAGATTAGCAAAATTCTGGCTGATCTGTCTACCCCCTTTCTTTTTTTCCAAACTTATGTAAGTAAATATGTGTTGGCTGAAGATGTTATCAAAACATTTATAGCCATATTCACTACAGTATGAATTTTCTCAGTGTAATGGTCTACTCTGCCCATTTAAGAAACAAGCCACACCCACTCCCTCTCCCATCTGCTAAAGCAAGCTAATCTTCAGCTGCCTGTCTGAGTCCCTTCCTTTCCATCTATCTCTCTTGAAGAGGTCTCTGTCTCTCTCTTCTCCACACTTCTCTCCCCTCTGTTTCTCCCTCTCTCTGCCTCTCTTCTTGCTCTCCCCACTTCTCTCCTTACATTTCATTACCCACTAAATAAATATCCAACTTCACTCTGCATGGCATGCCTATCCGTCTTGGTTCCCCCACCATATGGTTTCCTGCCTGGGACCCTGCTGCCTTTATAGACAGCCATGGTCTTGAGGTCTGCTGCCTGCACCTGCAACTTGGGAATCCACAGCATTTTTACTTAAACCATAACAATGGGTGCTGTTACTTGACCAAACTTTCCACATTCCCTCTGGCCTGCAGGTGGGCTCGCTCAGGATGTGTGGGAGCCTGGGCTTGGGAACCATGTTTTTTTACAAGAGCTCTCTATCCCATCTGCCTGAGCGTAGTTCCTACACACACCACCAGCTTCAGTTGGTGAGTTTCCCCCATTCTCGTCAGCTTAACTTTTTCTCTGAACTCAAGGAATTGACTACTGGGCTTCTGGCAATCTTCTGGTGTTCCTAGAAAAAGGGAGACAGCCCCCAACTATGGTCTTTACAGCTATGATTGAGCCCTTCACTGATATTCATCTCTAGATTGCTTCCCTTAGTTAAAATTGTTTGGTTGATCCGGGGTCAGTCATCCTGCCACTGAGGGCCCAGGGTCCCTCAGGTTTTTCTTTCTCCTTTTTTCTTTTTTCCCCCATGCTGTAAAAGGCTACTCAGAGTGACCTCTGCCTCTCTGGCTTCTGAGTCACCCTGATCAGAGTCAGTCAGGCTTTAGTACCCTGGCAGTAGGCAAAGGACACTCTCCTACAATCCATGCAGTGTTCACTGCTGATTTATATCCCACCTATAGAGGGGAGACATCTTCCTATAGGCCTTGTGGTATCATCGTTTTCACAGGTTTACATGGTTTCAGCTATGGATACCAAGCAATCAGTGCCCATCAATTCAGCCTCACACTGGCATGGATGCCTTTTAGAGGCCCTAAAACCCAAGGCTTTACTGTCCTACTTCTTCAGCTTCTACCCTCACTCCGCTGGTGTCCCAACAGCTCCACTTTTGCAGGAGCTTTCTAACTACTGTCAGTACACAGGCAAATGAAAGGAGTCTCCTCAAATTGCCCCTGCTGCCAACAAGATTGCTGTTTTCAATTCCGGCCTTTTGCTTCCTACCGTGGCATGGCTGCTCAGCAACAGGGCGTTTTATACATCTAGGTCTCTCTTATTATTTAACTTAAAATCCCTGCAAGTCATAAATTGTGGCTTTTCCATACAATACATGACCTCTGCAATTTTGACTGAGGTCAGGTGACTTTGCCACCATCTTGGTTGAGAGTCAGGTCAGGTGACCAAGTTCTACCATTCTGAGGTTTTTCATTCCTGGTTCCCAAGTGTTAACTCCATTACATGGGTGACCTTATTGCCATCTTAACTGAGGTTAGGTGACTTCACTGCCAACTTACCTGAGAGCCAGGTCAGGTGACCAAGTCTCATCATCTTTACTGACATATCCCCAGTATACTTATGTTTTTGTCTCTAAATTCCTCTTGATGACTCTGTTGCATGTGTGCTTTGTGCAGTTGCATGCCTTTGGTAGGACCCACAAAAAGCATATACTTTGTCCAATTTACGTTCACTATGTATGTATGTATACATGTGACTTAAATGTACCTGTTTACTGTTAAATATTATAATTGTCTGTTCATTATATCTCATTTCAGACTACAAAAACAATAAGTCTCATGTTTTAAAATGGTATGTACTTTAAAGTCTCTTACAAAAATACTTTATATTTAATCCAACCCTCATTAAAAATATATTAAGATGTTCTCTACTATTGCCAGTTCTGCCATTAACCTTCTATTGCAAGCAGTTTTTTCTTCTTTTCATCTTTTTATGAGTGTAAATCTTACCAGTTAAGAACCAGTACAGTCAAGTTCAGACCTAGCTCTCCAGGCAGATTCTATACTGCAGTTACACCTGATAAACAGTCCTCAACTGCTCAGAGATCTGGGGAATATGGCATTTAAATATTTAATTACTAAAAAACTTTTTATAACACAAAGAGACAGTTTGGCTCCTAGTAGCACTCTACTTTCTCCAAAGAAGACAGAAGATAAATGGCCACAGAACTACATTCTTCTGCAATTTGCTTCAACTGCCAAGCACTGACCACTTGGAAAAACTGCCTTTCATTTAAACTGAAGATCACCAGACAGTGGAAAGAATCACTGGAATCAACAGCCTCACTACTCAGGTCAAGGTAGGCTTGTCTTCCTACATATTTCTACTCCTACAGGATCTACTGGAGCCTGGCAGGCCTTGTGCCAAACAGCAAAAGGCAATTACAACCTTCAGCGACCCTGGTGGACCCTGAGAAGTAGCTCTAGGAGCCAACCAAATAAGTTCTCTGTCATTTTTTATATAAAGACTACTATGAAGAGGAAAATGTTACTATACCCATTACACATTTTTCTCTGGCCAGACTATAGTGTCACACACCTTTAATCCCAGAACTTGAAAGGAACAGACAGGCACTTTAAGGTCAGCATGGTCAATGAATAATTTCCAGGACAGGCTCAAATGCTACACAGAAATCCTGTCTCAGAAGTATTTAAAATATTTCTCAGCAGTATGATTTTTTCTCATGATTTTAAAATTGATAACACATACAAAAGGTTTTACAACATTGGCTAAATTTGTAGGGTTTCTATTAAGTATGTGTTCTTTGATGGATGTGAAGACTTCTATGACATACAAGGCTTTACAACATTGATTATATTTATAAGGTTTCTCTCCAGTTATGTGTTCTTTTGTGATGCTGAAGAACATTGACACAAAATGGCTTTACTGAATTGATTTTATTGATAGGATTTCTCTCTAGTATATTTTCTTTCATGCATTTGAAGTTTAGAGCATCATGAAAAACGTTTATCACATTAATTACATTAAAGGGCTTATCTCCTCTATGTGTTCATTTATGTCTGTGAAGCTCACAATGAATTGCAAAAGTTTTACCACATTGATTACATTAAAAAGACTTCTCTCCATCATGTGTTTTTTATTATTTTGGTTCCTACTAAGTTGTGAAAAGACTTTACCACATTGATTACATTTACAGGGTTTATCTTCAGTGTATGTTCTTTTGTGTTAGAGACTACTGATCTATGAAATGACTTTACCCCACTGATTATATTCATAGTGTTTTTCTCTAGTATGTGTTCTTTTGTGTATTTGGAGTTGAGAATGCCTTGAAAAAGCTTTATTGCATTGATTACATTCAAAGGGCTTCTCTCCAGTATGTGTTCTGTTATGTCTGTGAAGCTCACCATGACTTGCAAATGCTTTACCACATTGATTACATTGATAAGGTTTCTCTCCAGTATGAGTTCTTTGATGTACTTGGAGATTACAATTCTGTGAAAAGGCTTTATCACATTGATTACATTTGTAGGGTTTCTCTCCAGTATGTGTCCTTTGATGTACTCGGAGATTACTCTTCTGTGAAAAGGTTTTATCACATTGATTACATGTGTAGGGTTTCTCTCCAGAATGTGTTCTTTTGTGTACTTGAAGATGATGGTGATATGCAAAGACTTTACCACATTCATTACATTCATAGGGTTTTTCACCAGTATGTGTTCTTTTGTGTATTTGGAGTTGATAGTGTCGTGAAAAGGCTTTATCACATTGATTGCATTCAAAAGGCTTCTCTTCAGTGTGTCTTCTTTTACATTTTTGAAGCCGAACATGACTGGCAAGAGCTTTACTGCATTGATTACATTCATGGGGTTTCACTTTAGCATGTGTTTTTTTAAGTATCTGGGATTGACTAGGACATGTAAACACTTCATCATATTGAATACCATCATATGGTTTCTCTCCTGCAGGAATTTTTTCACGGCCTTGAAGATGACTGTAACATGAAAAGGCTTTAACACATTGAGTATATTCAAAGGGTTTCTTTCCAGTATGGCTTCTTTCAAACCTGCAAAGAAAATTGTCACAGGAAAATCTTTACCACATGCACTAAACTAATGAATCTTAATATCTATATGAATTAATTTTATTATTTTGTCTAATTGAAAAGAATACTCAGATTTTAAATATTATATTTATGGTACACCTCTTCATTAAGTAGTGTTTTGTGTCTTTGAAGAACCTGTAATGGTAAGAGTCTTTATTTCATGCCCACATTTATGGAATCTTTTTATATTATTTTTAATATTTGAAAGGAACTTGAGCAACTCAATTTTAAATAAACATTACCATACGTGTTACATTGTTATGTTATTTTATAGTGCAAAACATAATACATAAGTAAGTGTACCAGGACTAACAAAAGTAACTATACAGTACAAAACTCATAGGACTGATTTTCACTGTGAGTTTGTTGATGTCTTCCAAATGAAGATGGAAAAACAATTAAATATAAATTAGTATCATATTCAAAAAGTCTAATCAATGTTGGAATACCAAATATCTTTTATATCTTTGTGTTATTCGGAGAGAGGTACCATCCTTCTTTCCTTATCCCTATGGTCACTTGTTTGTATTCAGAGTGACATATGATATTCTTATTAAAGGAAGAACAAATAAAAGATTTCTCCACTGAATTCACATAGTTTGACTTTCTATTCCTCACAAATATGCGGTATAGGGATTAAGATTTCTCCACAAGAGGTTTTGTTAAGTCTCATAAACTAACCTTTCCAATACGGTCAGTGAAGTCACAAGTATATGAATGACACTAGCTTTACTGTATACCTTTTATTCCTTAGACAGTTTTGGATATATAATTATCATCTAGTCAATCTGTATACCTTGTTCAGTTTCAGAGTGGTATAAAACTAAATGAATTGGCAGTTCTACAGCATAGTTCCCATGGAGATGTGATTCAAATGATGGTATCAGATAAGTCATTGTTTACTTGTCTTGGTTTTTAGAGGAAAGCTCTAAAAACACAGATAAGCTATTGAATAATGAAGCATAAAATTTGGTGAGAAATTAATAATCATCAATAATTAAGTTGTGCTTATTTATACTGTTGCTTTTCTTTACAACTTCCGGAACAAATTAAAATAGTTTCAGAGGCAAATTCATATCAAGTTGCACATGAAAATTACCTTCCATGTCTCCTAGTGCTTCGACAATGTTCTTCAAAATTATGGTTTTCCCAAATGTAGCCTAAAATACAGTCCCAGAAAATGCACATTATTGGAAATTGTGCAAATTTTAATATCTTATGTAAACCATGCCTTAGTTATTAACCTCATTCTTACAGTTTATTAAATCAAACTATATAACAGTATCAATAATCAAGACACAGATGTCCTCTTATTTTAAAATGTGAAGGAAAATTCACAGTCTTACCTATAGAAGTGAGGTTTCTGTATGTCTCCAGCATCACATCTTTGTACAGACTCTTCTGGTATGGATTCAGCAAAGCCCACTCCTCTGAAGTGAAGTCAATGTGCACATCATCAAAGGTCACTGCATTCTAGAATAATCCAACCAATAATAAAATAATGTATGATTCTGCTCTTATAACTGGATATTTCTTTTAAATAATATATTCATATAATTCTGATGCTTCCTACAATTCTTCCATGATGTAGGCATTAAAATGTAAGCACCAAGTCACATTTGAAGAAAACTGAAAAGGAAGAAGTTTCACATGTGACATTTGTAGGCCCTTTAAATAGGATACAGCCTTGAGGAAGAAGTGCCAATGAGCACACACACACAGAGAGATATTCAAACAGATAAATGCTACAGAGAAATAGTATGGACACTTATTAACTAGAAAAGAGATGGGAAACTTGGATATATTGTCTTGTGCCTTTAATACCAGCACTCAATGTACAAGCAGATCATTTATAATCAACATTTACAGTGCCGATTTTTTTGTCCATTTGTAAATGTTTAAATATGCACTCCCTTTTAGCACGATCTTATTATGTTACAGTTTAAACTGGGCCATTTCAGGTTCTGGAAGATGAATGTAGAACTAGAGTGAATGCAAAACTTTTTGTAGGAACCTCAGTAAAAACCTCTGATTTCTTTTTACACTTTTTGTTTGAATGATTTTTTGGGGTGGATAAGATGTTTTATTATTTGTAACTCTGGCTTACCTGTTACTGACTGAATAAGTTTTGATTGGCATCCAACTCAATTTAATTCATCTCCATAATGGCTATAGCGGTTTCAGCTAAGCAGCACTGGAGGAATGTTCTCCTTTTCTACATCCTGGCCAGCATAAGCTGTCACTTGTGTTATTGATCATAGCTATTCTGGCAGGTATGAGAATAATTCTTAAAGGAGTTTTGATTTGCATTTTCTTATTGTCTATGGATATCAAACCTTTATTTAAGTGTTTTTAAGCCAGTTTAAAGTCACCTATTTAGAATTCTGTGTTTTGATCTGTACCATATTTTTGTTGGATTATTTGATTTGGTGGTATCTAGTCTCCTGACTTCTTTTTATTCTGAGCAAGTAAATTTGGATCCACATAGACAACCAAGATGAATACTCACTTGTAAGTAGATTTTAGTTGTGGAGTAAAGAATAATCACAGTACAATCCACAGACCCAGAGAGGGTAAGTAACAAGGATTGGAATAGCAGGGGATGCATTGATATTCCATAGTAAGAGAAAATAGATTAGATTTTTTGGGTGGACTGGGAGCAGCAATAGGAAGGATCATGGGAATAATGGTGGGACAGAGGGAGAGAATACAGAGATAGATGACTGGAATAAGAAATGTTTTAGGGTTAATGTGGAAGCCTAGTGTAGTAGAAACTTTTTCAAGCTATGAGGGTGACCCTAGTGAGGACTCCCAGTAATTAAGAACATGGAGCCTGATAATCTTCTGTAATCCCATCTTCCATCAGTGGGATTAGGAAAAAAAAGATAGTCATAAAATATTGAACACACATTTCTTCTGTTTAGAAGTTATACCAAGTAATTGGCTTAAATTGGTGTAGTAGCAAAGCTATGACTGAACAAACTTGAGGTCCAAACCAAAAGAGGAAACATTGCCTGGATGGCAAGAAACAAGGAGTTAGCTGGTACAGAGATTTAGAGTAGAAAAAATGGCCAATACAATGACTGCTAGATCAATTCTGATACAAACATGGATTGGTTCCTAGCCTAATTGTCAACAGAGGGGCTTTCTCCAGCAGCTGATTGTAGCAGATGCAAAGATCTTTACCCAAGCATTAACTGGAGCTCTTGGAATCCTGCATAAATTTGGGAGGAAGATTATAGAAACCATAGGTGTAAAGGACATCAGAAGAACACAGCCCACAGAATGAACTAAGCAGGGATTATTGGGGCTCACAGAGCCTTAAACACCAATTATGGATCTTGCAGTCTGAGTCCAGGCCTCGACAAGCATATTGTGGTTGCTTAGATTGGTATTTTTCTGCAACCCCTAACAGTAGGAGTGTGAGTGTTTTTCACACTTTTGCCTGCTCTTCAGACCCTTTTCCTTTTACTGGGTTGCCTAATCCTGTCTGGATATGGAGGTTTCTGTCTAGAGTTATTGTATCTTGTTATGATACCTTCATTTGATATCCCTGTGAGGCCTGCTCTTCTCTGAAGGGAAAAAAGAGGGAACAGGGCACCTGAGAGAGAGTGGGAAGTTTGGGGAGGGACTAGGAGGAGTAGACCAAGTTGAAGCTGTGGTCAGGATGTACTGTATGAGAGAAGAACAAATAAAAATAAACAAAAAGAAATGGAAATGCTTTAAATCTAACATCAGTGATCCTCACATTTTTAACAGCCCCAACACTGTTCAAATATCCAAAGCTTCTTTGGATACTCAAGACAATATTTTGCCTGTGTCATTCCACCCATGGATCTCCTTCACTCTTTGAGTAGCTTCCCCAAACACTATCCTCAATCCCACTTGCATTCTTGTCATTGTATCCTAGTTCTCAACATAGGAGGATGTACTGCTTATAAAAATGTCACACGACCTGTGAAAGGTCCATGTAGGCCACCTGCCTGCAGACATCCCCACTCTCAAAGTTCCCCACACCACACTGTCCCCATCCCTTCTTCACATTTTCTTATCTCCCAACTTGCACAAAGACCCCCTGAAAGCCTGACAGAACACAGGCCACACCTGTCACAAGAGGGTTTACATGTAGTCTTATTGTAACTTGATATGGCATATTTGGTTGATATCACTGGGAGATCTCACTTAAGAAGGGAAATGGAGGAGGAGGCGATCTGGAGGAGAATGAAACGGGAGGGGACTGAGAGGAGTGAAGAGGGGAAACTGTAGTTCAGATGTATTGTCTGAGAGAAGAATTTTAAAAAGAAGAGAAAGCAGAATGTGGAGATGGTGGGGGAAGGTTGGATCAAAGCAAGATTAAAAACCAGCAGGACAAAATCCTGTATTTCTGTCTCAGAGTCAAGGGGATTCATTCTCAAAGAACTTCAAAAGCTCTATCCCTGTAACTTTTCACTCATGTCTGTCATTTGCTATGTCCTCTATCTGTATGCAGCTATTCATGGCAAATGCCTCATATCTTAGGTATATTACTATCCTATTTTCTCAAACGAACAGAAGCTTTATCTTCACAGCTTCATGCAATGAACTCTCAAAGACTCCTCACTAGGTTGTTGATCCTGCAAAATGCAAATGTGTGCAACTGTCCTGAAATGAAAGCACAGAGGAAGAATTCATGGCCTTTACATTTGGCATCTGTTTTTTTTTCCTAGAACCAATACAACATGGGCGATCAAGCAAGTTTGGCTTCTAAGTTGTGATGGACCCTACCAGAGTTGTGCAGACCAGAGTCACAGTAGGTTTTGTATGAAGTTGATTCATTTAACTTGAAATCACTTTGCTTACTCCTTCCGTCAACTGAAGCTTTATCAGGATGGAGTCTTACCCTTTAGAACAGCTTGCTAGGGTTCTAATCTGGAGCAATGGGTTTTTCTTTAATGGTGACAACCTACTTGAATGTTTCTGCCTGTTTCTCCACAGGACTGCCACCTAAAACTACCCAGTGCTTTTTTTTCTCTACCAAACAGACTTTTCATTTCTTTCTGTCCTACTTGTTTCAATATTCATTGTAGACCTGAGTGAGTCATCAATAAAAACCACTCAACTGCATCAATATTTTGACTAAGGAATCAACACTTTAATTTTTTTAATTTAGTCTTACACAAATTCTCAGGCAAAATAGAAAGAAGATATTTTTGGGATGAAAATATGTATAATATAAACATAGTACAAATGACCTCTAGCTTAATTTTTCATGGAGTCTATCTCCCATTGAAATCCCATGAGTTCAACCTTCACTGTCTCCATTATTCTTAGAATTCTCATCTTTGTAGTTCCCTAATAATAACTGATGTGGCTCTGTGTACAATATTTAGGGCTTTTGCCAAGTAAAGTCATAACATCTTCAACAATCCTCCAAAAGTCATCGATCCTAGGTCCTTTGCAGCAAGAAAATCACTCTGATGTACCACATTTTGTTATAACTTGCTTTTTACTTACTGTGATTAAATTCTAACCAAAAGCATCTCAGGGTTTATTTGGTTGATATTGTCATCACAAGCCATCATTGTGGCAGCTTAGGTTAGAAACTCAAGTTAGCAACTGAAGTAAAATAAAATGTGGGGAAACATTTTCATTAGTTTCCTCTCCCACTTTCTCACTGTCTCATGCTCAGCTAGCTCTCTTATCCTGTTCAGACCACTTGCTAATGAGTATTGCCACACTCAGTGGAGGAGCCTTCATACATCAAACATCAACCAACCCAGTTTCTCACAGACATAGTAACTGGTGATTCTGTGTGGTCATGCCATCAAATGTTGTGTCCTCACATGACTCTAGGCTATATCATGTTGACAGGTGAAACTAATTCAGACAAGGAGACAATAATATATAAGAAAGTTTTAAAAAATCAAAACCAGTGTATTAATCCTATCTATCACTTAAGCAGCAAAAAAAATCATAAAGATAGCAACAGCAGGAAAACATAGATATGCATAGAAATAATTAAAAGTAAGCCTCCAAAATCAAGAGAAAACTAAAACTGTCTCTCCACAGATAGCACCCAAACCAACAAAATCCCAAGGAAGTCATAATAATACAGTAAATTTTCTAAATATAAAAATTGACTAATGCTGGATGGGATATAGAAAATGGAGAACACTCCTACATTTCCTGTGAGCAAGCAACTTGTATAACCATTTTGAAAATAAGTATGGCAGTTTTTCAGAAAATTGTGAATCATCTCAATATCACACTTTGCAATATACCAAAGGATGTCAATGATACCCCAAGAGCATTAACTCAACTATGTTCATTCCAGCACTATATACTAGCCATAACCTGGAAACAACCTAGATGCCCCTCAACCAAAGAATGAATGAAAAAAAAATGTGGTACATTTACACAACAGAGTACTACTCAGGGGGAAAGAATCTTGCAATTTGCATGAAAATGGAAGGAACTAGAAAATACCTTCTTATTTGAGGTAACCCAGATTTTAAAACAAGAAAACAGTATTACTCACTCAAAAGTAGAAACTACTTATAAAGCTAAGGATAACCAGTCTATAGTCCACAACCCCAGAGAAGCTAGGTAACAAGGAGAACCCTAACAGAAACATATGGATCCACCTGAAAAGGGGAAATAGACAAGATCTCCTGAATAAATAGGGACAACAGTACTGTTATTCAGTGTCATAACAAAATCTTGTATTTTAGTTGAAATAGTAAAATTTCAGTGATTGAATTTCAAGATAAATCAGTCCTTTATCCAGATTTTTCATTGCCCTTGTCTGTGGACCCCAAGAAATGGCCAGTCATACCATTTATCAATAATCTAAAACTGGAGGGCTGGAGAGATGGCTCAGTGGTTAAGAGCATTGCCTGCTCTTCCAAAGGTCCTGAGTTCAATTCCCAGCAACCATATGGTGGCTCACAACCATCTGTAATGTGATCTGGTGCCCTCTCTGGCCTGCAGGCACACATGTAGGCAGATATTGTATGCATAGTAAATGAATAAATTTAAATAAAATAAAATAAAATAAATCTAAAACTGATTACAAAACTTCATATTACTGATTTTTATTGGCGGCCTTTAGTACCAGCCTCAGTACCCACTCAGGGTTCATAATTGGATGTCTATGGCAAGCAAGGATCTCAGGGTAAAAAATTAACTTAAGAACATTACTGCTGTATCTTCTTTATTTTTCACGCAAGGGGAAAAAAATGAAGTGAAGGGGGCATGGAGGAGAGGAAGATAAGAAGCATAAGTAGAAGAATAAAGAAAAGAAAGAAGGAGAGTAAGGGCAAGTAGTAGAAGTAGTGAGGAAAAGAAGAAGAGTAAGAGTAAGGGCTGGTCTCCAAGAGATTTCTAGTTATTACACACATGGTGAGAAAATTCTATAGGCTTATCAAACTCAAAAAAAGTGGCAGGTAGAACCTGACAAAGCAGTACTCCAGAACAGGTGACCTGACCTGGGAAAGAGCCAGCATTCAAAGGGAAGTATCTGACATTCCAAGCCCTTAGATAAAGTTAGTAAACATCCCTGAATCCTTGATTCACCTGTATTCCTCATCTAATCTCTGCTGTAGTACACACCTCTGGGAACACCCAGATTTGTTTGTTAGCAAAGGTGGGGCATGCTGGCTTCCTGCGTCTTCTATAGAAATTTCTATGTGCTCTGTTAGCAAATAATTTTGTGGGATTTACTCTATGTAAATTTGAGAGTTAGAACAAAGAGTGAATGCCATTGCTCCAAGGCCTAGTCGTGTGGGGAAATGGAGCAAGATCAGTCCACTGATTAAACAGAGGTTGTACGCAGTGGTGTTCTGGGAATGCGGCCCATTTCAAAGGGAAGAATTTTGGCTTAACAAGATTGTTACAGATATAATGGTGACTTTTCCAAAAGACAAGTGTTCCCGCAGCTCTGCAAAATAGGTTGTTCTACGTGGATGAGTACATATACACTTCCCGTGGATCTGCCTATTGGTCTGTGCATTGACTGTATACTCTTGTGGGTTCAAATAAATTTTAACAGCTACAAAAGCAGTAAACCTCTCATGTTGCTTCCTTCCCTCCCCTTTCTGCACTCTGCCTTCAACAGCTTCAAAGTAAGTAAATGGACTCAATTCTTTCACATATCTCTCTTCAATTATGAGTCCCCAGGGAAAGTCAGATGGATTAGAGGACTCTCCTTAACTGTTCTATTTTTCCTTCTCAATGAAAAGTCAAAGACCAGCCTGGAAGGAGTTGCAAGAGTGTTTTCCCAGCACAGGGCAGCAGAGGCAGAATTAGCTGGGTTCAAAGCAATTCTCAGGTACATAATGTGTGGGCAAGTCTGAGATAGAAAACACACTGATATAAAGAGAAATCAGTAAAACAATAGCACTTGGAAAAAACCAAGTATATATAGCACTTGGAAAAAACCAAAAATATAATCTTTAGTAACACTAGGCTGTTTCTAGCTCTGCCAAGAGTGTTGCTGGGTTTGAGGAGGAGCTATGTTACTTCTGCATGAGTTGGACCCTAAATGGGAAGACATCATTGATCAGGCCAGCTCTCAACACAACAGTTTTTTTTCTTTTCAAATAATTGTCATCTTGTCTCATCATGTACATTTTGCTGAACTATAATTATCTCAAAAAAAAACCCTGGATATTTAAGTCACACCATGCCCTAATGTTCATTATGATCCTATAATTCCCCCCATTGAGTAGCAGGTTAAAGGTTTTTTATTGATATGGTAATGGGTGTGGTGGCTGTTTATAAACCATTGGTGTCTTTGTCATGGTTTAGAGGCCAAATGTTTGAACAATTCTTGTAAACAACTTTGTATTCTAGCATCCTAATCTCTAACAGCCCTCATTAGCGTACTACCTATCTTTGGGTAATTTAGAGGCAACTATACCTCAAGTAAATATCTCCTAAGCATTGGTGAAGCCTTTATATCAACCATTCTTACTCTTCTGCACCACAGGTTAGTAGTGGAGTTGAATGAATGCAAGAATGCCATTTACAAACTCCACAAAATTAACTCCAAATGGATCCTACTCCTCGATGTTAAATGCAAAGGACAGAGCTTCTAAAAGATATTAGAAAAACTAGGCATCTCCAAGTTTGGGACATTGCCTTCCATACGGGTCAAAATGTGGACCACAAAGATGTTTCTAACACACAGTTCCCTGCTAGAAATGCTTTTCACAGATGCAGCCAACAGAGGGAAGTTATTTAGAGGCCAAGACGGGTTTCTGGGGAGTTACAAGGACCACATGAGACCACAGAGAACACTGATGGTAGCAGCAGATTCCTTTCCTGACTCAGCAAGGGCCTGCCACACTGTCTCCCATGGATCACCGTTCTTTCCTCCCACATCTTGGAACAGCAATTCCTTACTCACCATGCCGTGGATTCCATGCTCACCCATGCTCTCCTCACAGCTCCCTGCAGTAGAACTCACAGCACAGAAAGCAATCCACTGGCGCCTGCTCTGCTGTAAAATCAAGCTGGCAACATGGCACCAGAAAGTGTCCTGCAAGACTTCTGACTGACAGGTCTGCCTGGAGGCCCTGATTGGTTAGTGAGGCTTGAGTGACAAGAGCACCTCCCCGAGCCTTACAGTTTGTTTAAAGACACAGCACAGGATTCTTTGGCCCTGGCTTTCACCCTAGATCCAGACTTTTACAGATCTGCAGATGTATGAATTTCAGTATCACTTATGCCTCTCTCAAGTAGATGACACAACTGTCTTCCTGCAATCCACAACCACACTGCTTTCATCCTCCTGGACATAATATGGCTAGCCAGCGCAGCCCATTACACAATGTGGAGTGGACTGATTCTCCTGTTCAAAAGATGGAAGGGTGCACAGAATACTAATAAGTACAGATTTTAGGAAGCCAAAGATGATGTTTGTTCTGTGGCTTCAGACTGACATCAGGAGTCACAGGCACTTCTGACAGCCATGACAGCAACCCCAGTACCAAATTCAACCCACGATGTTATATTTTTATTCCGCCAGAAGACTGGGTTAAAGCTCCATTGCATTGCTATAGTTATTTCTGAATTTCTTGTCAAACTCTTCATTAAATGCTAATAATAAAAAGTGTAGTCTTTATGGTAAATTGAATACTTAAAGAGTATGGGGCTAGGAAGGATGATTTCATGGTCACTATGGTGAGCCAGCCCATTTACCTCAGTGGGCAAGTGAAAAATTATTTGCATTATTCCTGGTTCTCTACCTGAAAAAGGACTGGTAGATGAAACTTTCCGTGTATGTAGAAAGTAGATTTATTAGAATGCCTAGAGGCTGTGGGCCACTTATTCCAACAATGGCTGCCTACCAATGGAAAGCTAAGGAATTCGGCAGGTTTTTTGGTCCACGAATCAGGTGTGTCAGCAGGTTTTCTGTATCCATGAGGATTCTGAAGAAGTAGGCTCTATTGCTATTAATTGAATGAACTTGGTAGTCAGAGTTATGTCGAGCAGGTAAAAGAAAGAGTGCTTCCTTCTTTAATATCTCTATATAATAGACTGCCACCAAAAGGTGTGATCCAGATTATAGGTGGAATTTTTTTTTTTTGGCTGATTGTTTTCTCAAGACATTGTTTATCTGTGTAGGCCTGTATCACATTCTCTAGACAAGACTGGTCACAAACTCAGAAAATCCAACTGCTTTTGTTTCCAGAGTGCTTAGATTAAAGATGTGCATTACCATCAAGCTGGTAAAGGTTGTTCTTATGACCTCAGTAGATCCTGACTTAAGATGGGCCTTCACATTTCAAAACCTTAAATAAGAAAAACCCCTTATAGGTGTACCCTGTTGTTTGGTTTTCGTTCCAGAGGTAGTCAGCTTGACTGGATAAAATATCCAACATAGCATCCAAGACAAAAGAAATGAGTAAGATTTCTCCCCTCAACTGACAAGTAGACCATGGGTATTATTTCCAAAGCAATGCTTTTCCTAAACAAAGAAAGCAAGGGGAGTCTGGGCATGTTCCTGTAGAGTTCTCCCTAACTCCTAAACATAATCTGTCAACAAATCCACCTCAACAAATACATGACAAACATGATGGCTATGTAATAGCAATGATATTTAGGGACATTTTTATCTCAAAGTCACTCAGAAATTTGTAAATTAAAAATAATGGAAAGAAATGCCTCTGGCAATTTTTATCTTGTACGAAAAGTTCTTAGTTGAAATTCAAGTAAAAGTCACTGTGAAAGCAGAATGCTTTGGAACATATCCACCTATAATCTGAATAATTTTTGTTAAACCTGATTTTGGATCTAACAGTTAAGTATACTAATGTCACAATTCCACAAGTGTAAATTCCAGAGAACACAAACACAGAGAGCATCAAGGAAGGGTCACCAATCAGTAATCAGTTATTAGATGGATCTCTCTAGTGATCAATTTTAACCCGAGAAAAAGGCAGTTTTAGTCTCAGAACATGTTGGCTCAGAAAAGGCCACAACTGCTTCCACTCAAGACCAGAAGTAGTTCATTTAACTAACTCTGGCAGCTTCTTGTCTCAGGGCTGTGACGTCACTGTAAAGAATTCCATGCTTTCCTTTTCATAACCTTTTCTTAAAATTTTAGTTGTATGTGTGCCGTGTCTGCATGGATAAGTTCACAGTGCTTTCAGAGGACAGAAGATATAATCCGCCTGAAATCAGAGCTATAGAAAATGGTTAGCTACCGTGTGGGGGTCTGGGAACTGAACCTGCATCTTCTGTAACAACACAAAGTGCTCTTAATTGCTGAGCCATCTCTCTAGCCACACTTCTTTCATTTCAATTTGTCTCTGTATATTTAATTGAAAGACATTACATCATATTCCTCTATTTTGTCTTCCCTCCCTCCCTTCTCATATATTTCCCTTCCAATGTTTTACTTATTAAGTATATGTGAACAAGTCCACTGAAATATTGAAATAAAATCCAATAACTTTGTTTTATTAGTTGTATTTCATGGTTTAGGGACTGACAATACTGTATAGGATGAATAATATGGAACTTCACTCCTACTTGGGGTAATTCTCTCACCTGGAGGAGAATTCAAGTCTTTTATATAATCTTCAGACCTCTACTATGATTAGGCTGCATTGGACAGAAAATGATGAAGAATGGAGAACTTTGTTGGGGAAATATCTAAGAAGTTAAGAGGATTGAAGATTCTTCCAGAGTACACAGGTTCCATTCCCAGTATATACAGAAGCCCAGTAACTCTACTGCCTGGTGTTCTATCACCATCTACTGGCTTCTTTGGACACTAGGCATGAGGGGACACAGAGACGTGCATACAGGAAAAATACCCATACACATGAAATTATGAATGAAATTAGATTCATAACAATAACCAAAGCTAAACCACAAGAAGAAATGATATGAACCATAAGAATTATTTCTCCAGCTGTGCATATACTGCACTTTTTTAGTACCAGGACTTCAGACATTGTGACAGGAAGATCACTGTGAATTTCAAATCATGTGCTACATAGTCAATATCAGCAAACACACACACACACAAACACATGCACACACACACACACACACAAACACACACACACACACACACACACACACAGAGAGAGAGAGAGAGAGAGAGAGAGAGAGAGAGAGAGATACACATGAAAAGAACAAAACTGAATAACGTACCAGAGAATGAGAATTGGAAAATTGGAGCAATACAATACTTTTAAAATCATTACAGTTGTCTGCCACTGATGCTCACAGAATAATTTTTAAAGCTAAAAATTGCAAACATGGTAACTCAGGTTATAAATCCCAGGCTTTGGTAGACAAATTCAAATTGGTACCTGTAAATCTGAGTCAATCGTGATTTTATATATTCACTTCCAAATATGGTTCATCACTGAAAATCCTAAAACTATTTGTAAATAAGTATATAATTGTGATTTATTTTCTTTGATTAGAACAGGGACTCATTTGATATCCCAGTTGATGTTGATACACTAAGAATAATACTACAAATATTGAGTTTTTAAAAGGTTCTCATACACATTGAATCCTGAACCTTTGGACCATCATTCTTAGCATGGCACTCTGATGAAAAAGAGATTTTCCAAATAATTTCATGTTGATTGAGTAGAAATAAATTAGAATGTTCATAACAATAGTTTACACAGAATGAATCTGAGAATGATAAGAATTGATCACATCAATGCTAGACCAAAATCGGGAAGGAAAATTATCAAATCTTGTAGCATCTTATCAAGGGGGACCCACGCAAGTTCCCAGGATATATGTTAGGTAATCAGCTTACATTTGACAAAATGTAGGAATAATGGCAAGGTGACTCCTTGTCTTCCAAATGCACAGGGAGCCAAATGAGACATTACTTGACTACCAGTTATGCTTTATTTTGTGAGGCTTTTTAAATTTTGTTTTCAAGACAGGTTTTCACAGTATAACAATACTTGTTGTCCAGGAACTGACTTTGTAGATTAGGCTGGCCCCATCTCACAGAGATCCTCCTGCCTCTGCCTCCCACGTACAGGAAATAAAATTATGTGCAACCGCATCCCAGTCCAGTTATCTTTTTTTTGAGATGATTGTTTTATTTATTTATTTTTTTTATTTTTCCATTCAAATATTTACACTTCCTTCCCTCCTCCCAATCCCCTCCCATTCCCCCACAACTCCTCCTCCCTCTCTCTCTCTCTCTCTCTCTCTCTCTCTGCTTAAGAGAGGGCAGGAAACCCTGCCCTGTGGGAAGTTCAAGGTCCTCCCCCCTACCTCCAGGCCTAGGGAGCTGAACATCCATATAGACTAGGGTCCCAAAATTACAGAAATTCTCCCGCCTCTGCCTCCCAAGTACTGAGAATAAAGACATGTGCAACCACTTTCCAGGCCAGTTATATCTTTTTGAGATGTTTTAATAATTGCCTGTGATCATGTTAGAGGAGCAGCAGGAGGCAATTGAAATTCAAGGCATCAGTACAACAGAAGGAGAATTTCTGATGAGTGAATCTTGTATAAGCAAAGTCCCTACACCAAGGATCCCAGAATGTGTTTCTCTTCTGTGTTTACATGTTTGCTGCTGCTATCATTCTGTGGGATCTGGCATGGTGAGAATGTGTGTGGGGAGATCTCCACTGTTTATAATATAGTGTGTTTGGCTCATGGAAGCATCCTATTCTATAGGAATGACTACTTATAAATTACTATGAAGGTGAATTCTTCTTAAGTTATACTGTTTATTTGATAATAATAATGTTAGTTAAAACAGAATTTTGATGATACAAATATAAACAAGTGTCACACAGCTAGAACATATGAGTTTCTCCTGAACAACAGTATAGACTGTGACATAGGGTAATAATTTAAAAAACAATCGAGTCTCAGTAGCCCAATAGGTTTAAATTCTTTCAATATTAATATTGGGAGATGTGTTTTGGGGTG